CAGGATCCGGTATCCATAGTTGTTCTGGGGATCGGATTTCCTACCCATGGCTACCACTGTTGAGGTGGTGGTTAGGTGCTTATAATTTCGAAATGTGTAGTTCTGGCTAGTCTACTTTTGGCGAAAAAAAAAAGGAAGTTGTGCTGACCAAATCCATGTGCCAATTGTCGTTTATGTTGATTTTCATCCGTTATTGTTCGTAGGTCTTCAAAACAATTCGAGTCCAATCATTTGAATTCGGCCCTAGAATCGGCCTTCGTTCCTCTTATCAAGGCAGGAGATGACTCAGTGCGAAATCGATTCATCGCGATTTTTCGCTATGGGGGGAGGGCAGGCAGATCGGCGGCATACCAGTCTCCACTATTTCCCATCGTACTATTGCTGCACGTTCATTGAAATTGATACCTCATTGGTTTCGAAACCAATGATTCTTCATCTTGTGGTGCAAGTTTTTATCTCTCATTGCTAAGTACCCTCCCTGCTTCAGTTGTAATAATGGGCTTTCGGCCCCAGTTCGTGAACGCTGCAGTGAATTGCTCATATGTTGCTGCCCATTTCGTAGGTCTCCCGCTCTATCCGTAGGTTTTGTAGTCGGTTTCATAATTGTGAACCCATTTCGTATGTCTCGCAATCAATTTTGTGAATGTTGCGTTACGATTTCGTGAGTTTCCCAATGTGCCATCTGTTGCCAATCGCCCACTCGGGGAATATCTTCATCTGCTGGAAGGTGAAAAGTCGCCCATACGCTGAGAATACGCGCCTCTACAACGAAACGCTTTTTTTCAATTCCTTAATGAGCTATTTTTGGGTTCGAGGAGTAAGGCAAACCTATGGCGATGGGCCATGTCCGATTCCACGAAGTTAAAGAAATGGGGGTTTATTCACTTTTAGATAAAGTTGATGAAATGTCCCAGTGTGCAAATGAAATGGAAATAAATTCGTATAAAATAAAAGATTTTCTCATTGAAAGGTTGGTTACTGTTATTTAGCGCAATATTTTCGAAAATAGGGCGGAGGTGGTGTAGTGGCAAGTTGCGTACTATCCACACGCACGGTCAGGGGTCCGAATCCAACCAAGCCTTTTATCTCTCCAATGTCGGTGAATTGGCACTAGACTCGTCTGGGAGGATAAAAGCACTGATTTGCACATCGGCTGCCCACCGCAGNCCAATGTATAGGCCACATACGTACTCATTACGCCATTACGATTCTGAATGGAAGTCGAGTGCGGGGCGCATCCCTCAGACGGGATTGATTAACGCCAAAACTTGATCCTTAATTTATTTACGAAAATGATTACGAACTTAACGAAGTGGGGTTTCAAATACAAAATTGACTGCAAAGTCTTCGAAGTAGGAAGGGAAAACCACGAAGTTGGTCAGAAATATACGAAACTGACTACAACGTTTACGAATTGAGCTCGGAAACACTATTAAATCTTGCGCAGTGTAAGTAAAGAAAGGCAGAAATGTAAGAGATAAGTGAGATTCCACCGAGCCAGGAGGGGTTCATCGTCCTATGTCAACATCTCATGTCGTGTAGATTAGGTGACAGTTATACAAGTAAATGTTGAGGGGTGGTTCACTGCAAGCACGTTCTGGATGGTTTGTTGGACCTGACAACAGTCCATAGTTCTTTCTGTTAAAGCGCATTTCGCAATTGGTTCTGTTCTTCATAGTTGCCTACGCTTTCGCTAGGAAGGGCTTCATGCTGAATGCACAGGGTGAGACGATAGAAGTACCCTAAGGAGTAGGTTCAACTGGCGCGAGCCCTCATATCAACCTCCTCCATCTGCAGCGTACCAGACAAGTGCGTGGGGAGCAGAAATGTCAAAGTCTGTTTAGCAAAGTGAGGAAGCAGTAGATCTCTGCCATCACTTGGTTTTTGTTTCTTCAAAGTTTGAACTCGTCCAGAGCTCAGATAAGAGATATTACGAGGGCATGACTCGCTCCTTCTGCTGCAATTCAACTACATGCTGTGTTCTACCACAATTGGTTGTAGTTTGGTGACCTTTTTCAATCGTCAGCCATTCGCACGCATTTGCTTTATTAGCATACTCGGATTCAACCAAACTATTCAATTTTTTGCCGAACAACTCATCCAAGTTGTCCAATGTCTTGATTTTTTTTTGTCCGGGTAGGTCCTACTAGAGTGCCTCGCAATTATGGGGGATTTCAGGAAGTCCCGATATGGGATGGAGGATTCTAGGAGGTTCCTCATCCGGAGTGGGAAATAATGAAATGGTAAAGATTATTTGAGTAGCAGAACAATTTTTTGAAGTGAATTATATGGAAGAGGTGAATATGATAAAATATTCAGTGAAAATCTCTAATGACAAATGTGCAACACTTCTTCTCTCGAAGTGTTATTCTAAAAAAACTTTTTGAAATCATGGATCAATTTCGACTCCGTTTGCATTAGGTCTATTGATTAAGTTCCGCTCTCATCAGATTTATCCGAAGGCAGAAGAAAGAAAACCCTTCCAATCCTAACCTCACATGGACGGTTACTGTGTCCCTTCTGAAGCGTTAAGGCGGCCTCGTCTCTTCAAATTTTTCTAAAAGGAGTAATCGACCTTTGAGAGTTGTCTTTAAAGTCTTCTGGCATTAATCAATCCCGTGGGTGGGGTGCGCCCTTCATTTGACTTTAATTCCAAATCGTGTTGGCGAATCTTAGTGGCCTATACTTGTAGATAGGTTGGTCCATATGTAGTGGCCAACCTATCCACAACTCAGTGCTTTTGTCCTTCCAGACGAGTCTGATACCAATTAAATGATGATTCCGTAGGGATGTAAGGCCTGGTTGGCTTAGGCCGATATCGATCTGGCATTCGAACCCGTGACCATGTGTGCGTGATAGTGCGCCACTTGCCACTACACCACCTTTGTCCATGAACTGGGAAACAAAGGCTGTCAAAAAATGAGCTCAATGGGAGAAATCGAAAACAAGAGAAGCGTCGCAAAGAAAGGTACAGGAATAAGCCAGTGAAACCAGTAAAACAGGGATCAAGTATCGAAAAAAATGAATTTACTCAGAGAACACCCGTCAATTTGATACATACCTCGAAAACATCCCACATATCCACATTTTCTGATTTTTAACGTGCTGCATCATTTCACCCCCATTTCTCTATTCCTAGTTTCAAGGTAGAGCTGGGTGGGCTGTGTTTTGATGCCGTTATCATCCATGTGGTCTGGGGCACGATGTCTTTAGTAACAACCCTCATAAAAAATTTTACCTTGTTCTCGTAGCTTGAAGCTGTTGCCGCACTCCTCAGAGAAGGTAGTAGAGATGGCTAGTACACCGATCAGTACTGGCCACGATACTACTTCAGTGGTCAGATATACACGCAAGCGTCATTGCTGTTTTATATAGGAGTGAAATAGTGAGTGAATCAAGGAAACCAATTGATCAGAATTGATACGTCGTCATTTTCACCTCCTGCTTCATAATCTGTTTCTTACCTCCTTCCCGTCCCTCCCCCTTCCACTACCCCCCGCCCTTCTACGACTCTATATTGCGATGGAATTTGGGTGAGAGGGGAACCCCATTTCTAACGAAGACATCGAAGGATTGCAAGGTGAAGCAATTCGTCTCTACTCGTCAAATAGTCTTGTACTTCAAAAAGCTTCCTTCTCGAAAGATTCTGTTGTCCAACTCATGTGCTCTCCGTTTCTTAACAATTTCCTAATGGAATGAAGATATGAGAAAAAAGCGGAGACGGTGTATGTAGAGTAACGAGCGGCGGCTTAACATTCACGCTTGGTTCGGGGACCGAATCTCAAAAGGGTACTCGCCCAGGCATATCAGCAATCCATCTCTACCGGGATAGTTGTTCAAGTGTTATTCGGTAGAAGAAAGCACTGACTTTTTCGTCTGACACACCTCAAATTCTTGAACTGATCACGTAGCTTCGAAACGCTACTACGATTGTGTATGAAAGTCGAATGCGGGGCGTATCCCAAAATGAAGTCAATTAACAGGTACTCGCTTCCTGGATTATTCGGAACACTATAATTTTCCTCTTTCATAGGCACTCGTCTGAGGTGTCACTTATGGCATCCACTCGCGGTAGTAGTAAGCAATTGCTGTGTCCGCCCCCTCCCCAGTTTCTAAGCGGCAACTACCGTAGTTTTCCACCGGCAATTCAAATCTTCTCCCCTCTCGGGCGCGCGATCGGGTGCGGCTAGAGCGGCTCAGCCGTTGCTTGAAAAACCCGAACCTCTGTGCCCTAGGTCTTTTCCGATGCGTCGTGGGTGTGACATTGTTGATGAGTTAGTCCCTTGTATGTGCTGTTGGTACGCATTTGCAGACTGGTACCGTGAGCAGAAATAAGTGCGAATGTTGCCCGGGAGTATTAAGTCACAGGAGGCTTTCATTTTTGCGCCTTTGCCTGCGCTCTCTCAGTGTGACAGTATCCTACCGGCCAATTCCTCTCCCACTTCAACTTTTCCCATGAACCATGTCATTCACGACGGTGTTCTTCCCTTCCTCAGGTTGACGTTAAGAACTCCATCGCTTGGGCACAGAGTTCTTTTCAAACACAATTACAGATCTGCAAAACCGGGGCAATAACGTCTCAGGCCCCGCAACTAACGGTCAGGAGGTAGAGCACAGTGCAGGCCTCCTGCTCCCAAACAGCGTGTCGCCTTCCCTTCAGGGCGTTCTTTTGAAATATCCTTGTTGTGGTTCCAATGAGAGCTTATTGCATAAAGCAAGGAGAGGTGTTCTGAAGTCATGCTACATGACGACATACGGGGAAAAAACGGTCATTAAAGACTGGTCATCAGAAACAGCGAAGTGAAGGTACAGAGTAATCGTCCACTATGAACCGATCGGGATCCCACTGCACACACTTCGTGAAAGCAAATCTTATTACCTAATTCCTCGTAATTACTCAAATTACCATGATTCATTGTTTATTCCTCGTTCTGTGAAGTTGACTTATCCCTAGACCGTTTCCTCTTTCCCCAACAGTGATTCCTGCTCACGTAGCTCCAATGATAAACCATGGAAAGGTAACGAGTGCTAGGTGATGGGCTGGTCACCATCTTGTTATACTTTCTTTTTTCATGTTATCGTCGTTGAAGTTCTTCTGCAACTTCCTGCTGGTGATCGAGCTATACACTTTTTCAGGTATGAGTGATGAAAGAGACTTTCCTGTTGGCGGAGAGAAGAATTCCGTGATACCCGAGAAATATACCTACACAGTGAAGACGTGAGTGCTAGACTATTGGTTTTACTCTAGGGTTTGAAGGGCACTTGAAAGTTTTTTCGTCTGAAGATAGTGAAGTAAGAGGTGAGAGAATTTGCATTCCAAAGGAGGCGGGCAGTTGAATCGATTTTGTGTGATCGATTCGCCGCACGCGGCAGTCGCGGACCAGTTGCCTCGTTATAGTAGTTTTAACGTTCGTCATACAACTAATAGATCAATATGCGATTATTATTTTTGGCATGATTCTACTGATCGCTTTCATTCCTCCATTTCTACTGGTTGCTTCATTCTGTTGCATGCCTTCGTGCGCAACATCGCTCCCGACGCGAAGCGACAATTTTGCTTTAACTTGATCACACTCGCATTCCAAGACTGGATATACACAATCATGGGTAAGCGGCTTGTTGGGAAACATTAATGACAATTGGAGCCACGACAAGTACTGGGGGCAAAGGTACATTTGTGCGTCCTGGTATGCGCAGACTAATTGCGCGGCTAAATTCATGGCGATTTTGACGACCCTGGCGTCTTTCATTCGGGCACAGGTTTTACGTAGATTGGGGAAGTAGAGTCAGCTGCTATTTATCTACCTTATTTCAAATTTGTGCCAAAAGCCAATTCATCAGGCGTACGGCAAATTCGTTGTAAATTAGAATTAACGTAAATTGCACTATCCTTTGCTTCAAAGTGCACCATCTCTGGCTGGGTACTTGCGAGAGCCCTGGAGAGTCCCCAATATTCGCTTCGCTTTTCTTTCGTTGACACCCTGTTTGGTACCCTAAAACTGCTCAGCTTGTGGAGTATCTCTTTCGATCCCATTTTATGCCATCAAAATGTATGGACTCGTGGACTTTTTTTTCTGAACAGCAGAGATGTTAAAACATCGTAATTAAGCTGATCGGCCAGAGGCTGATTAGCAGTAGTTTCAGCCTTTGTCAACCCAGTATATTACATCTTCTAACTTCAATTTACTTTGTTTGCTGCAATACAATTGTATTAATTGCAAAGATTCAGATGTGAAGACGACTTTCGTCGCCTATGCGTAGACGATCACGAAGTTTTACCTGGACAGATGAAGAGAAAAAGAGATGATCAGGTTTGGGCCAATCTTCAATTTTTCTGGAATAAGTTTTTTGCATAGCCTTTCTAAACTTGGCAATCACCGCTGCTTCGTAGGTAACGGACGTTCGTCATTGGCGCCAACAGTCTAGTGCAAAACTTGGGATGAACGCTTTAGAAACTTTTAGTTGATAACCGCTTAGCTATGTATTTTTCGAGATCACGCTCACTCATGAGCTATCGTTCAGGGGAAGGGCTGATCTGAAGAGCGACAGTGAGTTTAGTGAGTTTACTAGGGTTAGGTCGTTACGTATGTGGGTGGTCATTGTTTTTTCCTGTTTCCATGTTTTTCGTGTATTCCCTGTCGGGGTAGTGGTGTGGTAGAAGGTGAGCAACTCTGGAAACCGATTACTATGTTGGACGTCCTGACTGCTTTTTGCTCAGTATGTGAATTTAGTTTGTTGCGATTGATGAGTTGATGATTATAATCAAACTTACAGTTGATGACTTTCTGCATATACTCACATAAGATTATTTCAGGTTGTAAACACTGCTGGTGGTTACGTTTTCGCTGTGAGTGATGAGTCAAGAGTGCGAAGATTCATCATTTTGGGAACTGCTGGAGGAACCTACTACAGCACGGAGCAAGAGCTTACTGTGAAAAATGTTGAAGCTTTGATCAAAATAATTGAGAAAGGTACGTAAGGTTGCTCGAGGTTAATTTTGTTATTTATGTTGTTCATCAAGGTCGTGGAAGTATCATACTGAAGGAGATTTACGAAGTATCACTTGCGGGACGCAACCCTAAACAGGATCCTCTACTGTTGGCGCTGGCCTTATGTGCAAGGCATGTGTGAAGGCTCTTGCTTGTGCTCTTTTTTAAGCAACTTTTGATTCTGATNGAAGCTTTGATCAAAATAATTGAGAAAGGTACGTAAGGCTGCTTGAGGTTAATTTTGTTATTTATGTTGTTCTTCAAGGTCGTGGAAGTATCATACTGAAGGAGATTTACGAAGTATCACTTGCGGGACGCAACCCTAAACAGGATCCTCTATTGTTGGCGCTGGCTTTATGTGCAAGGCATGTGTGAAGGCTCTCGCTTGTGCTCTTTTTTAAGCAACTTTTGATTCTGATTGACAGAATTGCAGGTACAGCGTTTGCGACTCAGCTGCCAAAAAACCTCAAGGAGGCGATGATGCTGCTAAAGTGAGAAGCAAATATCTGAACGAGCTGCATAAATCTGCCTTCGGCATTGTGAATGAGGTGGGTTATTTTTTTCTGTTTTTTTTTTCCTTTACACAATTGTCTTTTTGGTGTTCTGGTTAATAAGAAAGGATAGGAATGCTACATTCAAGCTGTATTGGTTGCTTTGGTCACAAACGTAGAGCGTAAATGCATGCGTTAGATTCGAGACCTGATCGCGGAAAATATTCTGCAGCAGCCTTGTTTCTGGTGGTGTAATCAGTGTCACGAGCGGACTTGAAGTGATGGATTTAACTTCGTTTTATGAGCTGGCCGAGCATGCCATTGAGAAAACAAACTATTATGTTCCTTATGGCCTGTGTCCTTTATTCAGAAATTTTGTATATTCTTCGTTTGCTTTAAGGTATGCCGCATTCCAACTCATTTGTTCACTTTCGTCAAGTATTGCGAGATGATCTCACAAGCCACATTGGCCGAAAAAGAGAAGAAATCAACTGGTTGGGGTCGCCTTATGAGAAGCACAATTCAGCACTGGTTAGCTCCCTCTACAACGGGTGTTTTTTCATACAGATTATTCATGATTTATGGTTCAGGTATTCAAGCAAAAGCCCCGAGCAACTCGCTATGCACCTTACCAAATATCCACAAAGGGGAGGTTGGTCGCATCGGGATCTCTTCCGCCTTGCTCATCCGAAGCTGAAGAAAGAAGCATTCCCTGAGAAACTTTTGGAATATGAGCAATTGTACCACTTTGCCGTAAAAGGTGCTCTGGTTATAATACATGTTTCGCTCATATAAGATTTCATGCATAATGTTCAGGAGAGTTGAACCCCCGAAAGCGAAATCTCTCGAAGGAGGATGCGGAGCTCGAACAACCGGCAAGTAAATACAGTGCCCTTCAAATGGATGTTGAGCTCGGGAGCAGGTCCGATGTTTTGACCTCTCTTCGTGTGCAAGTAGCACGGTGTAATTCATTGCTGAACTGATGTCACTGGATTCTTCCACTGCAATGTTACACGTGTCGTTTTGCAGGGCGCTGGACCTAATAGAAGCGGTAATGGCTCTGAAAAACGAGAAGGATGAGGCGAAGATTGTTGAGGCTATAAAGAAACACAGTAAGCTGTTATTTTGTTCAGTTTTCTGTAAGCAATGAGAGACTTCTCCGACGCGGATGTTGCAAAGAACATTCACTCCTGAAGGCATCTTTCATAGTCCACGATTTTGCGAGTGACAGGTCGCGCGACTAGTATCGGACCCATCTCGCGAGTCGAGCAACCAGTCGCTCGCGAGATGGGACCGTGACTGGTCGCGCGACTGGTCGTGGACTATGAAAGCAGCCAAAAAGTTACTCAAACGCTATGCTAAGTGGGTGTGGGATAGAGGATCAAAACCACACTTATCCCCTTTCCAGACCATCGAGTATTCTGTTAAGTTAAATTTACATCAAACACGAATTCGTAGCAACTAAACGAGAGCGAAGGTAGAGTACCAAGTGGTGCGTTGTCACACATGCGTAGTAAGGGATTGAATCCGGGTTAATAGGCCATACAAGTCTCATCCATCTTGGATCTGTTACTTGGATCCAAACTTATTTAAAAGGCTTTTCAAGCGTTTTTTAGATCTGGTGCGTGAGCACATACCAACGGAGATGCTCAATTCAGTCCCGGTTTGGCAAGCGCTCTTGGAAAAAATGCCAATGACTGCAATGATTAGGAACCTAGGCAAAATGCAGTCAATCGGTGTCTTAACAGAGTAAGTTCATCTTAAAGATAGCTTCTGACGTTTCAAGGATTACTCCAATAACCTATTTTAGTAAATATCGCGACATGGTAGTCACAAAACTCATCAATGAAACAGAACTGAAGCAAGCGAAGATCCATCCAATCCAGGTATGTCTTTATTTGGACTACGCTGGTGCATCGCCGAGATTCATCTTCCATTGACCAAGCTCCAGTCTTTCATATCCGAATATCGGATCAGTTTACGAAGGCGGGTGCGTGGCCTTTGAATCTCGGACAGCGACACTGCGCTCAACCCATTATTTGAAACAGTTAAAAGTATCACTATCCGAATAGTGCTTTACAGGTTCTCTTGGCCAAGAAAGTTTATGCGAGTGGCCATGGTGAGAGAGGTAAACTGCAATGGAAACCGGACGAAAAGGTATTTTCCTGAACATCCACCTTTCTCACAGCTAACGGTCTATGTGTACTTTTTCCAGATTGACCAAGCTCTGGAAGAGGCCTTCTACAAATCATTTTTCAACGCTCCACCCACAAACAAACGATACTGTTTCGCTTTCGATGTTTCGGGTATGTCGTAACTGCGTTACATTTTTTTGAAGAATCGGTTTCGTCGCACGAAAATTGTGGCGCCTCCCATATCACGTTGTTTTGGGTTGAGTTTAGTTAAGTTCGCATATAAGGAATGTGAAATCGAAACACAGAAAGCTAAACAATACAAAATGCTGTGGCCAAGGTTGTGGCGTGATCTGGCATCAGTTGTATGACGATTGCTTGCTCTGACGAATTGTTTTATTTTTTCAGGTAGCATGACCTGTTTGATCTCTGGTACGATGTTATCATGCCGTGGTGCGTCCGCTGCTCTTTCTCTTGTTAGTCTGAAGAACGAGAAATCTGTAAGTGATCAATACATCTTGAAAAATGTTATTTTCCGTGGTTTTTTTGGTTACATTTAACCTACGCATTCTAGGTGGAGTGTGTCGGGTTTTGCGATCATTTGGTTGAGCTACCATTCCGCGGAGATTGGACACTTTCCAAAATTGAAGATTACATGGATAAATTACCGGTCAGTTTATACTTAACTAAGATTCCAATCAGTATTTGATGCCGGCATCATCTGTATCGCCTGTATCGCCTGTCGTCCCATTGATCATCGATTTCCTCAAGCGGGCGCCGGTAACGTCTCCATTCGTCCCTCTTACGAGCCAGGGGGCTCTAGTGAACTGTCCTTGCTTCAGGGATACGAGGTCCAACATTCCTTTCGTTCAGAGCTTTCGTGAGGAAGTCTGATCTTTCGTGGTGGCTGTCCTGAAGTTCGTATGATGTCCCGAGGGTTCCAGTCAGTAACCGTCCTGGTCCAACGGTCATCATGATATCGCATAACGTGTCCTAAGATTTGTTCGATGACGGCTGCCGACATCACATTAAGAAATTCGTTGAAACTTTGTGGAATTAACTTCTCTCACGTCGATGATAACTAGGTAGGGTAGTAGTGAAGAAATAAATGATGAAGTCTTTGGCGTCAATCAACCCTGTTTTGGGAAGCGGTCGCGCCCTCAACTTCCACTGTGAGGCATCTTAGGTCCATTTTGCGAGGAGGTTGTGGCCATATGACTAATAGTGGTATTGAAAGGATTTTTTTTATGTCGAGCATTCAATAAGTAATCGCCGCGAATAATCTGCAATACTGTAATTTGTGAGCTCGCACACAATTTCACTTTCATCGAATCAGTTTCGTAAAAACTACCTTCTGCAAAAGTGAGGTCATTTATTTATTCAATTTAGTTTGGGAACACTGATTGTGCTCTACCGATGTTATGGGCGAAAGAAAAAAAGAAAGAGTTCGACGTCTTTGTGGTCTACACTGACTGCGAAACGTTTTTCGGTGAAGTAAGTTATTAGCTATTTCTTGTCACTAGTCACTAGTTTTTCTATTTTGACCTATTGCCTCGAAACATATGTGCCTTTAAAGGTGGACGATATGCCGCTAGATATTCCTCGAAAACAATCGGTTAACTTTTAAGGTTCATCCTTACCAAGCGCTTCGTGATTATCGAGAATCATCCGGAATTACTGACGCCAAATTGGTCGTTATGGGAATGACAGCTACCAATTTCACTATCGCAGATCCAGAGGACGCTGGCATGTTGGACATTGTCGGATTTGATTCAGCTGTTCCTACTTTACTTCACGACTTTGTCACTGGGAAGCTTTAATTAGCTCTTATCACACTGTTTTGATGAGTGAAGAGCTCTAAATGTAAATATTCCGTTAAAATGTACTGGTTATATGATTTGTGATCGTTATTCGACTTTTAATGTTTATACTGCACGAATATATGCCCCCTTGTTGCCTTAATGAAGTATGAAATTTAATTGAAAGCGTCTATTAAAAGAAGAGAGAGCCATGCATTTAGCATTGCAGTGGGGTTGTTGAAGTATAGTAAGGTTAGGTTCTCATAGATTCTTCCTTTACTAGTAATTCAAGGTTCATAAAAGGCGTAATAAACTCAGATCACATCAGACTCTGGCTGAATTGATCGTCGAGCAGTTCTCTACTGAGCATCTGACCATGAGCAGGTTCGCCGTCATATGTGCTCGATCACTTTCGCAAGCGATGTAGAAGGGAGTACATAAGACCCGAAAGTCTAGGTGGGGCACCGACGTGTCAAAACAATGTCTTGCGAATGCCGCAGAAAGCCCTGACAGGCAGGATTAAGCGCTTAGCCTGACATGTCATCGTAAAGCAGCTAAACTCGCACTGGACTGCAGCCGTTGTTGGCATGCTCTTTAGGGACACAGCTCACGTTATAGTCTCTGGAAATGGTTTCTAAGATTTCTTCCTGGGATGAACCTGTGACCCACAGAGATAGCTTAAAGGTCGCTGTCGGGTCGAAAAACGGTCAAGATAGGACGTAATATTACCCCAAAACCGGCTCAGCCGACTACAAAAACAAGACGGACGAGTTGTTAAGCGTTGTAAAAGCACTAGAAGCTGAGCATTTGGGGTATGGGTACATTCACCCAGAACTGGATGGACGCGGCAAATCACGCGGCGAAATTCGTATGCGACTTGTACGACTTTAGCGCCAACCATTTGGGACCAAATCTGAAGTAGAGTAGATTGGTAGTATCAGCTGACCATACTAATCTACTCTACTTCAAGTTTGCACCTCAATGATAGGTGCCAAAGTCGTCCTAAACGCCACGAATCTAGCAGCGCCACCTGCCGCGTCCATTCAGTTTTGGGTGAATGTTCCGTCCCCCGAGCATTTGAGACGGAACCCACACTTTGCCCGCAGGCAACGTACTACAGCCAGCTGTATGTAATGGCGCGCGTAATCGAACAGCTCGTTTGGAAACCCGTTCAATGCAGCTTTTTTTCGCAACATTATCGTCCTGCCTTTAATTTTACTTCCTTTTAAAGTCTTAAATTTCTCTGAATACGAAAATTTTGACGTTTTCTTCACCACTTTTGTACAGTGCTTATCAGAGTATAAGCTGGCCATACCTACATCTATGTGTAGAGGTGGTGTGGAGTTCATACAGGATATATAAATAGTTCATCATTAATTCATTAAAAACATATAAACGACAAAGTGGTGATGGGACTATTCGGCTTACGCCGATGCGATGAGCTGTCCGGCGGTGTCGGTGTGGCAACAGCAGCAGTCCCCATGTTTCCAGCTTGCCCATTTTATAGTGGTCCAGTGGAACGCAACAAAATATACATGCCGTCCGTGGCATTTTGCCAACTTTTGAAATCATTCGCTGCGGGACCCCTGCTGGCGTGGTGCCACAGCCTCGGCTCCGCCCCCAATTCGATCAATGAATGGGAGCGCCAAAATAAAGAATTTAATTTCTAATTTTCTTCTGTCTTCTGCATTTCGCTAGATTCTCTATTTATCATTCGTCTTCGCTTAGGAAAGTATGACTGAATGGTTGCAACTTCTCAGATGATTCGAACTACCTACAAGTTTTATTCTTCGGCTATTTCGCCTTCGCAACGTTCTATTATTCTCCTGTACTTGCTGTATTCTGATATTTCTAATCGACTAGTACTTCATCGTCTGCTACCGCCGAACAACTACATTTGCCTGCAATTTTGGATATGGTTCAAAGCACACTCGAGCTGGATATTCACTACTTAAGCTATATTTCGCCGCTGTATTTCCCATCTGTCTAATTTTCGCAGCTAATCCATTCTTCTTTGCGACGGCTCTTCACGTGTATTTATGACCTGCGGCTAGTGGCCTAGCAGAGAATACAGGTAAGAGTTTATCATTCGAATTTTAGTCACTGAACCAATTTTGTCGAATTGCATCGAAGTTCCACTGCTTATTCATTTTTGTATTTTCTCACGTTTTTCCAACCCTTCTCATTTATCACAAGGAACCCAATCAACCTAACAAAAACCTCCTCGTATTTCATCTCTATGTTTTTTTCCCTACCATTCTCTGTGGCGATTTGATTTCGAGTCCAACAGAGGTAGTCACTCAATTATGACGAGTGAACCCTTTGTCGTGACATCGAGAACTTTTCGATATTATCGTCCCAAAAAGACCAGTCTTACTCGGATCAGCAGCACCTCAGCACCTTCAAACCAGCAGGCTGGTCCCCAGAGGAAGAGTTGAGTCCCGAACAGAGGTATTGAAATATACGGTTGGTGTTGAAATACGCTCAAGACTATATAAGAACTTCGCAAGCTTCTTCTCAGTTACATTCTCATCATGCAGCATCGAAGCTGTTTCCCTCTTTTCATTAACTTTGTCTTTATAACAGGTTTCTCATATTCCAAATTCGCTTTCTAAAACTATTTATTAAGATAATGTCAAGTGTTTTATGGTCCTGTCCTGAATGCAAGAAGGTGATGCAAAGGAAAAACCTCTATCCTCATCTTCGTGTAGTACATTTTTACACTAGAGAGCAAATAGAGGGGATGAAGAGTGAAGTTAGTCGCCAGGCTGCACAAGAAGGGGCACCTCCGTATGAAGAGGTCATCTGCCCTCTGTGCGAAGAGCGCTTCGTAAGCCACAAGCGTCTTGCAGCACATTGTGAAGAAGAACATGCAGATGAAGGGGCAGATGGAGAGCCGCAAAATTATGCCGTTTTTACCGTTAGTTTCGCAAATAAGCAAGAATTTGACGTAAGTTTGGAAGTCTATCCGCAGTAGCAGTTCCAACAGTCACACTATTTCAAAGCGAAGTTTATAGAGGTGGTTAGACGAACAGCAACAGGAAAGTGGTACTACTTTTTATACGCGATCCAGCTCGAAGCTCAAAGGTCTAATGGAGCTCAGGTATCGAACCATTCATCTTTTGAGACAGAGATCTGAACTTAACTCTTTTATACCAGATGCAATAGAGCAGGAAAGTACGTCAAACGTACAGAGGACAGAGCCACGAAGTCCAAGAGAGATGTGTCGCATTGCTCTTGTTTTCTTTCCGTAAAAATGGAGGAAGATGGATCAGTGCACGCAGAGGGTTGTTTGGGTCATGCTGGCCATAAGATCGATAGAGCTCTTCTGCGTCTGACTCCAAGTCAGCAGCAGTTCCTAAAAGGCCTCTTAGAGGGTGCGTCTAAGTGTAGTTAGTCCATTTTTGCCTCCTAACAAATACTTCCAGAGTTCACACCCGATTACATCATAAAACGTCTGAGGAGAGACTACCCAGCCAATGTGTCTCGATTGCACTATGTCACTAAAGGGGATCTGTGGAGCATCGTGAATCGCTTTGAGTTAAGACCCGGTTTCCGTCATAAAGAAGATATGGCGTCCCTGAAGGCTAGGAAGGATGAAGGAAATCCAGATGACGGAATCCGACTACTAGAACTGCCTGAGGAATCTACGGGGAGAGGATTCCGCATGAGTGAGGATTGATTGTATAAACTCAACTGTTAAAAGAAACAACACATATTTCAGTTATCTTCACCCGCAACAGGTGCAATAGCTGAAGGATTTTTCGAGAAGAGGCATTTCAATCGACGACACGCACAATGCCACCAGATACGACCTCAAGCTGGCGACAGTAATGGTTATGAACGAAAGAGATGCAGGTGTTCCAGCAGGTAATTATATCAGTTGACATCAAAAGGACCAAAAAATTGAGACAAAAATCTTTAAGCATTCTTACTGAGCGGATCAATGACTGCACAGGACGTGGAAAAACTTTTCCTTGAAATCCGAGAAGTAGTACCCGAGTTCGACCCCATCCAAGTAGTCACCGACGAGGCGCCATGTTTTTACAACGGCTTCCGAGCAGTGTTTCCTAACTCAAGGGCAAAGCTACACTACTGTAGGTGGCATGTTGAGAAAACATGGCAAAGAAATGCCAACAAACTGGTCGAGGTTGGTCACCTATGATCCCAATACATTCCCTCTCCCAATCTTAACTTTCAGCCTGGGTTGCGCAGTCGTTTGAAGAAGATGTTGAGAGAACTTTTGACCATACAAGACTTGCCCACATTTCAATACCGTTTCGCTGAAATCCTTGCCTTTCTCCGAGTAGAAGGCCAGGATAGGATGGAAAACTACTTAAATAGGAATTACTTGGGCGAGTTTGACTTGGAATTGACACTAGCTTTCTTTAATGTATCCAATGAAGATAATGTTTCAAGGAAGGGCGCCTACTTGGGCTTCGTTTTCGAATAAAGATGCCGTGATGGATACGACCATGATAAGCGAGAGATGGCATCTGCGACTGAAAACAGAGTTTCTTCATAGAAACGCTAACACTAGGGCAGACTGCCTGGTTGACTTGCTAATAAAAGCTGTAGAGGAAATATCGCAATCAGATGAAATTAAGGTATACCACATTCACTACATCTTGATGAAGATATCAACTTGTTGTTAAGGTACGCCGTCGACTGGCCACTTCTTCCTACCGCAAACAACAGACCACCAAGTGTCATCGTCGGGCTAGAAGGCAATTAGCATCCTTTAGGTTCATGAGGCAAATGAACGACAACAAATGGGAAATTTACAAAGAGCATAGTGGAGAGCTTTACACTGTGGAGCAACACAAGGATTGTGAATGCAGTGATTCTCCGGAAGAGAACGTTCACTGCCCTCTATGCTTGGTATGTCCGTACGCATGGTCGTGCACATGCACGGACAATCGTGCTGGAATCAGCTGCATTCACCGCCATGCTATAATGCTCGCCACTCAACGTGCCAACAGAAGAACGGCCGAAAGTATCCAAGAAGAACTCCAAGAACAAGGCGATCATGGCGAAGTAGTTCTACCGTCATCTTCGGCAGAAGTAAGCGATGCCCAAGAACGATCAGAACAGAGAAGCCAATTAAGAAGCTCTAACAATATGGTGATTGATTCCTTAGAAGACCATGACACACAAACGTAACACTGCTTTTCAGAAGATATCGGTTATGCAAGCCAACGTGAATGCCCTCGTCAACACAGACACTGAAGAGGCAATGGAGTTGCTCACCGCAATCAACGAATTAGTAAGTGAAGCATCGAGAATAGGTCTGACAGCAATAAAAGGAATTGCGGCCCGACCAGAGCTAACCCATGTGGGAGGGAAGCCGAAACTAACAAGAGTCCAGTTGTACACGGTGAGCACATTAACAACTACTGGTGAATTCTATATTAAAAAACTGTGTTTCAGCGCCAACAGAGCCGCGTAACAAGAAGTGCACTATCACATGGCAGACCTGATAGCGACAGCGAAGATTGAAGCAAACAACAAACCCTCTTTGTATATACTTGTAAATAAAAATGTAAATACTTTATATCGACAGATAAAAATAATCTCAAGTGCACATGATCATGTACATCGGCACGAAGTGAAATGGGAGCAAATCATAGAATGTTCGACCACACCTCACCTCACACCAATATACCGACGAAAACCAACATACAATAACAAAAACCTACCATTAGGAAAAAACCAGAAGTTAGGAATAAATGTAGAAGTAAAGAATAAATATAGAAAGACGCCCACAAATCAACGAATGAATAATAAAAGACGCCACCCTTAAATACTCAATTCTGGCGGGCACACTACCATTGATCGAATTGGGGGCGGAGCCGAGGCTGTGGCACCGCGCCAGCAGGGGTCCCGCAGCGAATGATTTCAAAAGTTGGCAAATTGCCACGGACGGCATGTACATTTCGTTGCGTTCGGTCCAGTGTAGTGTCCGCACTTGTGTGACAGGTGGCCTCGGCTGGAGGTATACGACATCTCCATTCCTACAGTAAGCTCGTCCTCGAGCTTCGAATGAGCTCCCGAGCGGTACCGTATATCATGGAGGAGGGACATGGAGTTTGATGGAAGAACGGAGCGAATGAGTTCGTATCTTATGGTTAGTACATTGGCTGAGTTGAAATGCGAACAAGACAGATGGCGAAAGTTATTATACAGAACAGCTGGGAATTACAAGAGGTGACTGTTCTTCATAAGTGCTCTCGCCATACCTTCGTGAAGAAGGCTCGACCTCGAGCCAGAAAAGAAGGAGCAAAGGCAAAGGAGTGGTGTCATGGATAAGTGTAGTGTCGTTCGATGTAGCCGTAATCATGTGGATATGTGTATGAAATTCGAATGAATTTGCTGCATTCATGATTGGTTAAGCTATGAGTAATTCTTATACACTGTGATAATTACTACTGTTCTCACAATGACATAATAAAGCTATTCCTATGAGTTAGACAATTTTCTTCGTATAAATGTGATAATATTACAGCGGAGTACGGGAATATGTTAAACTTATGACATTTCAAGTAGAATTACTATGTGATAGTCACGGTCTATGACATTTACGGTACCAGGCCGAGTTATGCTAAATATCGTCGGATTGGTATAAAAGTACGATACGTATAGCATAAGTATGGTGGGGTTCGGCTGATGTACGAACATAGCCAAAATACTATGATGCGAATACTAGTCTCGTCGGAAACGACTAGTATAAGGGCGTTTTTTTGTTTTGCCTTTATGACTAAAGAATATGTGGTATAAGCGCTGTGCAGGGGCTCCTTGAACCGCCTGTTCAAAGAGTTCAAAAAAGGATGCGCGACGTTGCATTGAAATTGAAAAAATTTGTTGAAAGTAACCAATAGAGGTTGTTTGGTTCTAATGACAGCTCCTGTTGACTTATCAGATTATAGGGTGATCAGGCCAACAACTGATAACGTGGCGGGACGTGAGTTTATGCGCGGGGTTACAACAGATGTGATACATACTTTATTAGTTATATATTAAGTACATTATACGGCGGGACCAAGGAGAGGCCAGGACAAGTCGTCCAGAGCCGATGCGATGGGCACTCCACACAGAGCTAGACGCACAAGAATTGTAGAGGCCAAGCTGCCTCCTGTGTTCCCTACCGTCTGATGTTTCCTCGTTTGGTGGCACCATTGATTGGTTTGGTGTTTTAGGTATGGAAGCATCAGCTGGTTTGGAACGTGCGGAGTAAAGTTAAGAAGGTCAAGATGAACAAGTTGTCGCTTTTGGCGGCCCACAAGCTTAGTGTTTGTAATATTAGGGCGGTCTATCATCTCGACCACGAAAGGACCTTTCCATCGGTTTGTGAGTTTTGGACGAACGGTGTCGTCGTGTAAAAGAACTAAATCGCCTATGGAAATATCCTTGGTATTGTCAGATTATAGGGTGATCAAGCCTATAATTGGTCATGTAGCGGAACGGGAATTCATGTGAGGGGACAACAGATGTAATACATACCTTTACTAGTTATATATTAAGTTACATTATACGATGGGATCGAGGGGAGGCCAGGACAAGTCGGCCAGAGCCGATACGATGGGCACTCAACACAGTTAGATGCACGAGATGTGTAGAGGCCAAGTTGCCGGTGTCTAGTTCATTTTATAATGGTCCTGTGTAACGTCCGTAGACAGGTGGTCTCGTCTAGGTGGCGGTTGGGTAGCAAGAATACGACAGTATGTACCTTATTTTGTAAATCGTATCCTGTCTTGTGCTGCGCTGTTTTGCTCGCAATTTCGTTTCCCGCAGTTATGATGATATTTTGCAGACCGAATGCAAACTGGTCTGCAAAGACACCCGATGCTAACACTGGACGTGGAGGGAGTTTGTGGAGGATATCGTTCCAAATGATCTGCCGTGTACAATGAGGAATGGACTGTAATCTGCAGTTGTATTGATACTGGAGTCGTAAGTAAATACCAATATTAATAAAAAGAAATTATTGTGATCAAAACAAAATTGAAATCAGAACCCTCTAGGGAGGAATCAAAAGTTCTCTTCTGTCCATGATTGGATATTCTGTAGTAAATATTGATGTAGCGCCGTTAAAAAAGGAAGAATCAAAACAAAAATGAGAAAATGCTAAACATAATGGTGTAGTATGGTAGAATGAAAGGATACCGGTTCGCCCTATATTTATTCCTCAGTGTCTTCCTAGGCCAGACGCCAATAGCAATAAACCAGAGCTTGATGGACATGTTTAAGACAGAGAAACAGAAGCCGATCCTCAATCGGGTCACAAGAATTTGAGATGAGGGATATAAATCATAACGCGAACGCTCCCTCTTCAAATCCCTCAAAAGAGCGTTTAACATTGAATAAACCAGAAGACATCGACAAAAAGGAAAATTATCGTCGTCTACGGCGACGATCCCCACAACTATCTCGTCGTCTCACT